AGAAAGGTGGAAACTTTCCTATGGAGGGGGGACGACAAGCAAAATAACATGATCAGTCGCGTGGCGTGGAATTCCATTATCTAACGTAAGGCAAGGGGGGGCTTGGGAATAATTGACTCAGCCACACAAGTGCAAGCACTATGACTGAAATTGATGAAAAAACTCATTTTCGCCCCCCCGTGTCCGTGGTGCGTATTGGCTCTGGAAAGAGAGAACATTTGTATATCGAGTGAGAGTTTTAGAAGAGAACGGACAGAGGGTGGTGTTTCAACCCTTCAAATCAATCCAGGACCTGACTCTGGACCCAACAGAATGGTCTTGGGAACCCCCCCAGCAGAAGGGAGCCCCCAAAGCAGGTCACATCAACCTGCACCAGCTGTCGGTCAAATCAGCCTACAAAACGACATGTGGGCCAGACACCTAAATGTGGGCCGCTCCCTTCTGACCCCAATTAAATGGTTCCAAGAACAGAAAGCAAAACCCATGAAAATCACTTCCCTGTAGTGACAGATCGCCCACCGCTGTCTGCCAACGAACGACTGGCTGCCCGACCGTACTAATTTAGAACAAAAAGGTCTGTGCTTCCATGGTGCCAACGGTGTCAGGGCCTTTTCCCTTTCTACAAAAGGGTGGAAAACATCGAACACATCTTCATGCAATGCCCGATCACCCAATTTATATGGAGATGGTGGGATCGCATACGGAGAAAGATGGAATTTGCAATTCCCTGGCCCTGGTCTTGGCAAGCCATATTGGCGGGCCATTGGCCACATGCAGAGGCAGCCACGACCTTCGTAAAGAATATGTACAAACTTGGAAGGAGAGCGGTGATATGGGCACTTTGGTGGCAGAGATGCACGCTGGCTATGGAAAAGGTGAGAGTAGAGGAGCCGGAAATCATCGAACAGATTCAGCAGCAGGTACATTTCGAACTCACACAAAGATGGCTGGACACCAAAGCACAATTAGACCTCTTTAAACAAGTAGGAGATGTTAGGAGACGGATCACAACATTTTGCACAGACAGGGTGGGAGGGATGAGAGAAGGATGGATTGCAAAAGTAGAATGGAGTGGAGATGGGGGAGAGGGACAGAGGGATTTGGATGAGATGAGAGACTATCGCCTAAGCTTCAAAGACTGGACAAACATAGAACCCTCATTCCCAGTTCGCCCCCCTGCTGATTTTTCAGACCCTTTCCCGCCCCATGCCCTTTCCCTGGCAGAGATCCTGTCCTGAATGATAAAATCCTATAACCCAGTCTTGCACACATCTCTTAATCATACAAGGAATTCTTCCCTGGAGCCCCACAGGGAGTTTTCTGCTAACAACCTTTTCTCCTTCTTTTATTCGCTGCTCAGTGATTGCCCCCTTCTATGGATTGGGGTAGTCAATGCTGGCAGCCTGAGCACTCTAAACAAGGAAGTATGGGGGACGGGGAGGGGGAGGGAGGAACTAGTGTGTATCAGTAGGTATCCGGTGCCGGGTGAAGGGTGAAGAGGTTCCTCCTTCCCTCCATTTATCCTGCTCAGCCAATCCCCTGGATCCCAGGGCAATCAATGCTGGCAGGATCCTTCCCCGTGACTGCGTTTTTTTTTTTTTTTTTTTTTTTTTTGATAACAGGGCAAGGAAGTTCAATCATTCATTAGTAATTACGACAAGCTTCTCCTAAAAAACAGCAATAGTTAACACAGACACAAGCCTGAGGGGAGCACAGTAGTTGGAAGGACATTCTAGTCTATACGTGAAAACCAGCAAACGAAGTCAAAACCTAACCAATGACGACCAATTTCAGTGCAACCATCTCCTCTCTAAAGTTGGCCATAGCAATATGCCCCGATGTACTCTATATTCAATCTGTATGTGGGACGCTGGACCCATTTTCCAGCAGGTGATGCTCCCCACCAATAGACGGAGCCTCTCCCCAGGTGCTAGTGGGGTCTGCTCTTATCAGCACCACTAACACTGGCGGGGGCATGAAAAAAAAAAAAAAAAAAAAAGAAAAGAACAATGGGGAAGAGAGGGGATATTGCCATCTTGGTGTGGGTACAGCAATGATTTTGCCAGCCCTGTCTCTGGGCCTGAGCATAAGTTCATTGCCAGCCCTGTTTCTGGGCCTGAGCATAAGTTCATGGTACTCTACCAAGGACCTTGGGAGCAGGTATGTGACACTACACAATTTTGCGGATGGGAGAAGTTGGTTACCACGGTGAGTTGAACAGGGTCTTTGTAGATTTAAGTTGGGCGCTGTGAATGGGCATTGTGGGTGGGGTACGGATGCAAGTTTCCCCCCAAAAAAAGAAATTGCAGAAGGGACAAAGGGGAGGCGCCGAGGCGGCACTGGTGGGGGCCCGACTAACACAAGGGCGGAGCATCACCAGTAGCAGCTGGTGGTGGCCTCTGTGTTAACCGGCGGCTGTTTTGTTTTTTGGCTGGGAATTAGTTTTTTTTTGGGAAAATTTTTGAAATGCCCCTGAAGTTTGCATTAATTTGCGATTTGCCCCTCCAACGGCCGACTTAGACTTGGACCCCACAGGTTTCCGCCTTGGAAAAACTTTGCCGCGGAAAGTTTTCAGGTACCCCACGGGCTTGTGCAAAGTCCGTGGAAGGCCGTTTTCGTTTTCCAAAAGCCTGTTGCCCGAACCCCACACATCCGGAAACGCGGCCTCGGAAACGCCCCCTGTCGTGTTTTCACTCGGTTTCCGACCTGGAAACCACCGCGGGAGGAAAAGTCGCCGCGATTTTGTGCAGGGTAGCGAGGGTTGGGGGGAGGGCATGTCGTTCCTGGAAAAGTCTCGGAAAAGGCAGCAGCCAATAGAGATGAAGAGTGCCACAAAAAAAAAACAAAAAAAAAAAGGGAAAAAGAACAAAATAAACGAGTGCCAACGGAAACGGGCAGCGATTGGCTCAACTGATTTCCAAAGGGTTTTCCACGCGCATTTTGTCCTCTGCGATGGGGTCCCGGAAAAAGTACTTTCCGACTTTCCAAAACGACTTGCCCTGTTTTTATGGGCAAACGTCTTTTCCATCCGGAAACCTCTGGGGTCCAAGCCTTACCCTGATTTGCCCCTGGGCCTCTGAACTTTCGAACAGACCCCTGTCAGTGAGGGGCACAACTTTTTGGAATGCCCCTAGGGGACCGGCGATCCTATTTCCCCTGCTGCCTGTCCGATTTGCCCTTCTCTGGGGGATGCATCTTCCTGAGATGCCCTCCAGGGGTAGGCGCTAAGAATTTGAATTCCAACCCCAGACTTTTCCAAGTCGCTGGGCAAAAAAAAGGGCTGCACACCATGTCATGTCCGCTGCTGCAATCCACCGTGTAGTGCATTCTTCAGCTACTGCGACCCGCCGCTGCCTTGGACGTCCGCAGAGTACGCTGGCTAAGGTCAGTGTTCCTCCCCCTGTTCCACGCCTCTCTCTCTCTC